TGTAATTTTCCGTCAAGTCGTTTAGAAGATGCGTGGTGGGGATCGATACACTAGAAACTCTTTCTACAATACGAGAGGAGACCTACATCCACCAGTGTGAGAGATTACAACTAAAAAAATAAAAAAGCACTGACAAAATATTATTTCAAATTTCTCATGCATCAACATCTCAAGACATCCTAACAAGTTATTTGCTCAGTATGCCTATTGCTAAACCGTTTTTTCGTACATTGCGATAATCTCACAGTATGCATCGCGTTGCATCAAAGGTTGTAATAAGCACAGTACATAAAACGTAATATTGGTGGCGCAACACGAATAACATAACATACCATTAACATAGTGTGAGAAATGGGCTTTTACTCCCTGTTAAACACTATGGAACTAGGTAATTGTTAATACATGATATGATATTAAAGTAAGAACACAAGTGGTGTGGTCTCTAGGATCATACGACTTATGGGACTTTAAGTCATCATTCCCCCAAACTTAGTACATAGCAGCGGTCTTTTATAGCTAGAACCATATCTATACATACATAGGAGAGTCAAGAACGAACACCGCAAAATACTGAGATTATAGTTTTTTAACTTTTGAGGATGTGTTCTTTGCTGACCAATATATTTCAAGTTCGTAACAAAACAACGCTGTTTTCGACAAATTAAAATTGGAAACATTTGTTTAAATTTATGGGTCATGTGTTTTGTACTTTATTTAATGAAATCATAAGGTTGAATTTCCGGGTCAAGATGAAAGACAAAGAAGAAATTCATCTTTAATAGCTAGTTATTTTTTCAATACGCTTTTAATTTAAAATTTAACCCCGGCTGGTCTTAAGCCCCGGCAAATTTACAGCCTTTGCCATATGGATTCTAATTAACTAACAGAACATTTACAGACAAGTCGTTAGGGGACTTTCGGTTTTTATCATTATAAATGGTGCGATAGCAAAATGGCATTTAATTATGTTTTTCACTTTTACATAATATAACCGTAAAACTTATCGTAATTCTAGAATTAGTTTATTACAAAGTTGGTCACAATTTATATGAGTTTTTAACCAATCTAATATTAGATTGATTAGATTAGTTAAAAAACACATCATTTGCAATAAAATACAATGTCGATACGATTGGTTTAAAATATTCCGATGGGCAAATACTTATGTATTTAGATACTGTAACTTTACGTAAAACAGGTTAGAGTTCAAGTATTGTTGCCATAGTTGTTTATTTTAAAGTAACATATCAAAATATGGCCTTGAAAACATCCGTCGAAATCCAATGTCAAGAGGTTAAACGCACATATATATGTAAAATCCGTTTAAGGTTAACTGCGTATTCGTGTGTGTAATTGCGTAAGTGTGCGTGTATCTGTATCTAAATTGTGCTTAACAGTACCTCTGTTGTACTTATCACTTGAAGTGTACTTACCTGGCCTTGAACTGTATTATTGCCTATTTATTAAAATGGCGTTGCTATTATTATTTTGAGGCTGAAACTATTTTTATTTGCTGTCTATCATTAACTAGCTGTGTCGGCGACTTCGCCCACGTAGAATAGTAATTTCAGGCATCCAAATTTGTTTTTGCGAACTCTACTTTCAACTTTATAAACTTAAAATATAACCTACGACGTCCGACGCGTCCCGTCGTTCTTGCAAGTTAATCTTAAAAGATAGACATATAGTGCCGCGGCCATTTTTTACATAATTTACGAGAAATCAGTCAGCAACGAAAACTAACTAAGATGAAAAATTTTCCCCGTAAAAAAGGTAAATAAAAGAATATCCAGTTTCCTCAAATTGTGTACTAATTGGATTTTTAGTATTAGGATTTATAGATTGTTACAACTATTTACTTCTATCATATAGAATAGTTAATTGTTATATGTGTTTGTTATACGAGTAGCACCTCTGATAACGATGTCCACAAATACATATCAGGTCATCAACCTTTAATTCAAATTATTGGATCACAATTTACGAGTACAAATTAAAATAACCATTATTTTAATTTGGCTTTTTATCTTGAATTAGTTAGTTGACACTTTCGTATTTCAAATGGTTATTAGGTTTTAACTGTATCAAAAAGAAGTACAATTATTGTTTAATTATTTATTCTTTTGTCCTTACTTTATGTTAAATCGAGCACGTATTATAATACTCATAACAATAAATCATTTAAATAAAACACTTTAACGGTTTAAAACGAGATATATTTAAAAAATATTTTAACTAAGGTCCGACGTTTCGACGTTTATATCGCGTTTTAAACCGTTAAAGTGTTGTATTTAAATGCGCACTACTCGCGTAAACTACAAACACTATTTAATGAATTATAAAAATTCTCGTGTCACAATGTTAGTTACCAAATACTACAGAAATGAATGACAAATTTTCAAAAATTGTATCTTATCGTTTATCCTATATGTAATTAAAATTGTCCACCCGTAATCTATTGTTGTATTTTGTATATAGTGACATAAAATATGTACACAAAAGAAAAAATTTTCACCTCACTAACACTATTTCTTAATAAGATTTTTAAACTACTTTCTTTTCTTTTAACTTCTGTCACTTAAACACGAAGTAAGTTATTTGTATACAGAAATGGCGAAACAACGATCGCAAGCAAATGCGTCATTGTGACAATTTTTAATGGCAGTATGTATATTTTTGGCCTTCACGCCCAAAATGCTTCCTAGACGACGCTTTATGACAAGACATAAACGTATGTTATTAAATATTAATATTTATTGTAATGTTTATGAGAGTCTCTACTGGATTTCAAATTCTGCACATTCTATCCAAGTATGAACTTCCAACTTGTTATGAAAGATAAATTTTGTTTACCGTAAAACAAGCTATATTATAATAATTATTATGATAATTTTGTTGTTCATGAAAATGAATCCATATACAATGACTTATAAATTTAAATAAAACACTTTAACGGTTTAAAACGCGATATATTAGTTAAACTTATTTGGAAATGATTTTTAACTTCGGCCCGACGTTTCGGATGCTTTGCAGCAGCCGTGGTCGCGGGGAGACTGATAAACCGTTAGTGTTTTATTTAAATGTGTACTACTCGCGTAAACTATAGACAGTGTTCAATGACTTATAAGTCAAAACCCGTTTCCCCTTTTTTCATGTTTTTCACTATTCTGGGATCGTTATTTTATTTACCTTCTACCACAACACCGAATTCCCTTTGACACCCAAATAAATTGTACTTTCAACCTTAACTTCAAATTGATAAGCTTTAGTCGATAATGTTTATCTAATGTTTTTAAATTTCACGCAAAAACATCTGCGGAAAAAACTAACTTCTTTGCAATGAGGCGATTTTTTTTATTAATTGGATAACCTTTGTTAAATCATTTAATAATTATTATTAACGTTGCCAATACTGTGATATGTATATATAAAGTTTATTTATTGTTAGCTTGCCTTCTAAAAATGTATCCTATATTGTAAGTGTATTATATGTTTATTGTTTATGTATCGTAAACTTGTGTGCGAGGCATGTGAAGCAAAGAACCCGGGACCTCGTGCGATTCAAAGTCGCTCATGCTTTACGTTGCCATTTTTTGTGTTTGTAAAATTCAAGGATAACACGAGCAAACTATAATCTTTATACGTTGACTATTTTAATTTTTTGCTGTGTATAAAACGTAATACATAATTTTGTTTACCATATGTATGATGGACCAAAGAGGCCAATAAATGAGAAGGTTTTCTCTAGACCCTAGAAAAAGACCCACCAGTTAAAAATCTTTTCAAACGCAAACATCACAGTAAACAAAAAATTACCCACTTTGTGTATAACAGGTGTGTGGGCGATGTGACAAAATTTTTAATTAAATGAATAAGCATTGTTAAAACATTCAATACTTATTGTTAAGCTTGCCAAGACTTTGCAATATGGCGTTGTTAGATAAAAAAAATTTCAAACGTGTTCTGTATACTTAAAAGTGTGTAAATCACTTTGACCCCTGTGGGCATGAAATAAAGATTTATGTGCGGTGTACTGATAGATTTGTTTTCGGACAAGTATTTGACTAGACATTACCTTACCCGACTGAAATAATTTTTCGTTTACCGGACATTTGAACCAAGATATTCTCGTACTTTTCGAAATACAACCATTGAGCTATGGAGACGGTTTACTGGACTCGTACTATCTCTTAACTTACCTTTCAAATACATATACTTTAAATAATATTGACTAGCAAATCAGTCCACTTATTCTTAATACATAGTTGTTCAAGTTTTCACTAATAATTTACATGAGGCTGTAGAGTAGCCAAATGACAAAAACATGATTTTCAATAACGAGGAAAAATGCACAATAAACTTAGGCGAAAATGAATGTGTACTATTATTTGTATAAAAATTATTGTAACAATTTTCAGTGACTGTGCTCTAGTAGACTAACATTTTTAGACTATGAAAATATAAACAACTCAATTCATACAATTGGAGTTAGGCTACTCTACCTCTAGCTCTTTTATTAAACTTACAGGTTTGAACTAAATACAGTATATTTTATGAGTATTATGCTTTCAAAATCATATCATCCGCAATTTATTTCATTAATTGACCTTGTGTGACTAAATTTAGACATAGCCATTATCAACGAATGAAATACCCGCAACGATTTTGCAAGTTTTAAGGCAGAGAACTCACTAACGAACTGTAACCGTAATCTTTTTACTGGGTCTACAATATTAATGTTTACGCGGCTCGTGAAAAGACGAAACTAAATACTGTCTATAGTTTACGCGAGTAGTACACATTCAAATAAACTTTAACGGTTTAAAACGTGATATAATAGTTTAACTTTTTTTAAAATCATTTAAACTACGGTCCGACGTCTCCCCATGACCTCGGCTGCTGATAAGCATAAAACGTCGAATAATTTTCAAAAAAGTTTAACTTCTATATATCGCGGATTAAACATTTATAGTGTTTTATTTCAATAAGACAAAACTTACCAAGGCGCCTGCTTTATTAAATTTTGTGCGTTGCCATTCTTCTGTGTTTCTGTGGTCGCCATATCTCAATCTGCAAGGTACATAATATTTAAATGTCCAGAAGAAGACTCCAAGTCTACATTTTTTTTATAATAGAGGAAGAGAGGAGAAAGAGAAGCATAGGGCTCACTAAGATATGGCTGTCGCAAAAATTCAATAATTTTTTAATTTCCTTCAAAATTCTATAACTTCGTAAATCTATAATCATTGATTTATTAGGTTATTATAGACGGAAAAAATGCACATAATTTTTCACATATCATATACGACCTTGTGAATATAAAGTTATTTTATTAAAAACAAATAACACGGTAGATTGAGGAAAGATTAAATATATACATTTTTAAAGAAACTATTTCTTAGTAAGTATGTTAGGATTTGTATCTCCAAAAGTACACGTGAGGCATAAAAACGCAAAGGATTGAGTATTCGTTGTTTTTTCTTTTTTATGACTTCGATGTGAACTCAGGACGTCTAGCAACTCAAAGACGCGAGGTTATCAAAGTCTGCATTTTGTTGCTATTGTTTGTTTTTTTAATATTCAAGGGCAACACTAGCATAATATATATTTATACTTAGACTATTATAATTTTTTGCAGATAAAAATTCTCACGTCACATAGATATAATAATAAAAGTTAATTGTGGGAAAATGAAATATTTTTTTTTTATCAACTTTGTTAATTTATGACACATACAGTAATTTACGTGCAAAATTCGTACCACTTTGTTTTTATTTCAGAACTTTATCTAAACACATATATTTAGTTATATCAAAAGACAAACAAATATATTTTTATTGTCTTTATATATACGTTTACCCTAATGTTCTGTGTCTTCTTATATTACTTATATACGTTTCACGGCTAAAATTTATGTCTTTTTTTTTTAACCATGACTCGTCATTTCGGATGCTTTATAGTAGCCATATTCAAGGTTTACCGACCGCATATTTGGCTAAAGGTTTTTTTAAAAAAAGATCAACGTCTGGAGAATCTGGTCATTAAATATTTGGTAGGGAGACCCGCTCAAGTAACAAATTATGAGCGACAAGATTGTAATGCTATAAACCTGAGATTTAAACCGGTGATCTGGATATTATCTGTAAATTCCCAACAGTTTATAACCCATACTATCCATCTATGGATGGATAGTCCATCTATGTGATGTCCATTATGATGAAGTATGTTAACCTAAGGGGTATGGGTTATAAACTATAACGATAGAAGGTAGTGCTATGGCACTACGTTCTATCAAGGTAATACCATGCTTGTATCTCATCGATCATAACAAAATCCAACAACCATATTCGCCTTTACATAATTAGTACCTAATCTAATTGTTTGTTTAAATATCTGCAGTAAAATCTGCTTTTGCAGTAAAATTCCAACACAATTTGATTAACACAGTTGAATACATAAGTTTTTGTACAACAACAAAAACATCTCAACCAAAAAAAAAAAAAACATCTTACGATGTTCGAAGTATCAATAGAAATTCTACTGTCATCGTAGCCTCGTTGTTATAAAAAAGTAAAATCCAGCTACATTTTTTTTTTGGGAATGACGTATTTTGTCTGTTTGAACCGATCAATTAATTATTAGGCAATTATTATTACTTGATAGGCTCCAAACCGAGCCGAGCCAAGCTATGTTTGGTTCTCTCAGTAAACGCAATACTAAATATTACATACGTATACTGTTTTAGGATTTTCAGAGAAGACGTACAAGGCATTTTTAAATTCAACTCAATCGAGCGACTCTACAGTTTAAACAACTGAGGATCACTTGGTTGGAATTTCGTAAAAGAACAACTTTGTAATCTTTGTTCTTTTTTTATTTTTTACCGCAGTTCGAGGCACTAGTAATGCATTACAAATAACATGTATTAGTAACGTATTTTAGGGTAATTTAAATAAATACATTACGTAAGTCATTATTCTTCATTCAAAAGTCGCGATTCGTTGCAATTTATTTAATTGACAGTGTTGTCATGACAATTGCCAAAACTAATAACAATTTAAAAGCGATATTTATTTTTTACAATGGTGCACTTATGGTGGATATATAATTAAGTTTTTATTAATTTAAGTACATTAGTAAATACTTTTTCTCATTCTCGTTCAATATCTTAAGTTCGCTATTATACATAAATAATTTTGTTTTTTATAGTGTCTTGACAAAATAAATAAAAAACAGGAAGACTGCAAGGAGAGTATTTACTTACAGTAAATTTAATACATATAATAATATATTTACGTGGCTTTTCTGTAAATAAAGTATTTAACTTGATTTTGTGTACAAAAAAATCTTAAATTTGCAAAGCTTTTTTTGCGACAGATATTTACTTCAATATTTATATTTTATACTAATAAATGTGCAAAATTGTTTTAAAAATATTTTTTCTCAATTATAAACGTTGGAAAATTTTGATTTCTTATAAATAAAACTGTCAGATACATACCTTAAGTAAAACCTCACCGTTGAAACGATCACAGATAATCTTCCGGTAGTTGTCAAAAGACGCGGGAAAATTTGTGTTTTGCAATTCGCGTCTAGCACGTCGTAAACGCGCTGAGTGACTGAATTACTGATTACTGAATGACAATCGCGACGCACGAGTCAATCTACGCTGTTTATCACGATTCAAGGCTTATCAATCCTGCAATACCAATTTTTTAAAGTGTTTTTTACTCCAGTTTTTGTTGATATACAAAAACACTTAGTCAAGACGCAAATACTAAATTATATAAATTACAAATTCATTGGAAGCCGTAAATTGTAACTTTAGTTTCAATTACTTTTATTCTATATTTTTTATGTATTTGTCAAAAAACAAATAAACAGAACTTCTTATTGTAGACATTTATTCGCCTTTTACTATTACTGAAGGCGAAAATTGTTTTTTCAATGAAGTCTTGAAGTTTGATTTTGAGTATACTAAAGAAATGCAACTTTGTTTAAGTATAATATATACGTACTGTTATAATAAGGCAATAGATATCGTATGTCTGCATTAATAAAATGAACTAAAACTTTAAGGTAAAATTTTTATAATTAACTTAAGACATATAATTACTTAGATTACGAAAAACCATATTTTTGTATGCATGTTTGTATATACGCACTTATCTCAATGAAGAACTTTTTTTTGTAATGGAAGACAGACAAGCATGGGATTCATTTGATATAAGCTGAAATACTCCAGCTCTACTCTATTTTGGCTTAGAATATTCAGAAATCCACTTCACGGCCTTTTCATCTGTGGATGGTGGTTCGTTTTGTTTGTTTATTTCACACATTCAAAATTAGTGGAACAGCTAGTCTGCGGTATATGGCAAAGATTTTCATCGCTGTTCATCTTAAACTGGTTCCAACGGCTTCGATTTGCGCGAGGAAAAATCCGCGTCCGCTATATTGTGATATTAATTTGTAAGAATAACGATTACAACACGAGTTGCACAAAAAGCTGTAATCTATCGTAAAAGTAATGTGGGGCGAAACACCATGTCGTTGACCTTGGTCAACCGGTGCAATGTGCGGAGAACGCCTTTCTAGTACAAGGTTACGATATGTTTGTGTATGTATGAGATTGGGTGTAACCGGGTCGAGATATGCTGGCGTGTTTCGGTTTGACCATTGAGCATAAGTTTGAAGACGAGAGTTATAATTTAAAAATCGAAAATAAATTGAAAAAGTGAGGTAGGACTCGGTAGCTCAATTGGCAGAGCAACAGCACGGAACGCTGACAACGCCGGTTCAAGTCCTGCCCCAATCGAAAAAAAATTTTCAATTTATATTCGATTTTTAAATTATATATATAGTGTGCAATAACATGAAAAAAATATATAATGTATAGGAGAATTCAAATAGTTTTTTGTCGGTTCCATTTTATTCTTTTTCTCAACAGCCTAGCATATTTTGGCTTAATAACGTTCTTTGTACTTTACTAATATAAAAAGTTGAATACGTATATATAAAACACTTATACGGTTTAAAACGTGAAACTTATTTGAAAATTATTATATCTATATCGCGTTTTAAACCGTTAAAGTGTTTTATTTCAATGTGTACTACTCGCGTAAACTACATGCAGACCTTAATACGTATATTAATAATAAAATGTTAAATAATTACAAAGTGCAGTAAATGTCCTGAGTGTTTAACGTAACCAAAATATTTTTGTCGTTTATTAAAGCGTATGCGTTAAACAGTTTTTCTTTTATCCCTATATTTGCAAAGCCATTCAATAGATACAAAACTTATAAACATGACACAAACTACATAAATTAAAAATCGATTATACTATTATGATGATCTAAATTATACAGTGCCATCATGTGCAAAATATTAAAGTTATCAAATGAGGCAAACTGCCTAAAGTCCCCGGAAAGTAAAGACCAAAAGGATATTACAAGGGTTCGGAAGATGCCATTAAAGAACGCATCCATATTGTAAGAATAATTATCGTTTTAACGTGTATTATTAAGAATATTTTTTAAGGAAATATATTGGTACTTTGTGTTTGTGTGTGTTGCAATAAAGAATTAAAAAATAACAACCGAAGTGCCATTAAACGTGTAGCGTATTAACCAAGTGTGAAGTTACCGGTCGTGGCGTCGCGTCGGTCATTGCTCACTTAATTTTTGCCAAACATTCCACTGCCTGGATTACTACAGAGCTGTGCTGTTAGGAAACGCTCGTATCTACACATCTGGTAACTGCCTTTTACTAACGAACACATTTCGGAAATGTATACTAATATTATAAGGCTGAAGAATTTGTTTGAACGCGCTAATCTTAGGAACTACTAGTTAGAATCGAAACATTATTTTTGTATAAGATAGACTATTCATGGAGGAAGGCTTTAGGTGAACATCAGGCTGCGATGGATAAACGGAAAGAATTATTCATTTGTTAGGGTATCCATTGCGTGCGCGGTTGCCGCTAAAACCAAAAGCCCTATATGATTCTACTTGATCGAAAAAAATGTCCACCACAGTATATGTCCATCTATTAAGATTT